GATTGTTCGAAATTCGGATGCACGAATACAGATGTGCTTAATAATCCGTTATGCCTGAGGCGGAGGGTGTCGAACGGTTAAGCTTTCTGTAAGTGGAGTCCCTGTAGCTAAGGCTAGATACTTCCTGTTAGCTTTGTCCATGCCCAAGATATCCGAAGCGGAAGGCATGAGGGATCGGTATCGCGGTACGCGGATTTTAGAGTAAAGTAGAGTCCCCGTTAGCTCGTGGGTCTCCACATGCAGCAACTTCCACGTAGTGAGACCTGGGTCGTTAATACTTGCAAAGTTTAATTGTAAATTTTTAAATGCAAGTATTAACGAGCGAATGGCTGCATATTGTATTACTTTTCCAATATCTTTTTAATCTAAATCCAACTGAACATTAATATTTTTCCACTCTATATAGCTAATAATACTTCAAAAGAAGAAATATAACAGAAATCTATTATACAATAATTTCTCGGAGAAACGGAAAGGAAATTTTTCTATCTCTCTTTTATATCCGCTGTTATTTATTCTTATTTACTTTCATTATTTATTCTTTATATATCTCGGGTGGGACCCACGGGTGGGGCCTGTGGGCGAGGGCTTCTGTGCGGGTTGCTGTCTCAGCATCATATAGAGCTGTTTCTCTTGTCTTATCTTTTTGGGGCACTCTATTCTTCTCTTTCCGGGGCTCTCTTTTCTTTCTCCGGCTCTCGTTTCTATCTCATATTTTTCATTTTTAAGTATGGTTTCAATTATGTTATTATTATGTTATTTCCTTTTACTTATGTATTCTTAATATTTATTTATGTTGCTTCTTTCTAATTATGTATTTTATTATGTGTTTAATTATGTGTTTTTGTTTTTAATTATGTTTTGGATTATGTTGTTAATTATGATTTATAAGCATTAGGTAGGAACCATGAAATGGTGCATGCTGCTTCTCTTTTCTTTTCCTTTTCTAGGCCTTTTATCTATTTATATATATTTATTTTCTGTTTGTATTTTATATATGTGTATATATATTATTTTCTGTTTTATATATTTGTTTTTTTATTTTTTCTATAACTTTTTCTTTTACAGTATAGATCACCGAGGGATAGGTTCATCTGCGGACGGATGCGTCGTTGCCTGGCTGGATTCATCATCGATTTTTACGCGTGAATACGGGAAGGATAGGAAGAACATTAGCGCGCGTGTCGGCGGGCACAGGCGTTGGTGTTCTCGGGCGCGATTAAACTTCGTTTGATTGTTCGAATCGAAAACGCGAATTTAGAGTAGAGTCATGTTTTTCTAACACTCGCGTGGGTGTTCGGGCGCGATTAATGGTCCTACCGTGGACTTCGTTTGATTTCTTCAAAATTTCGATGGGGGTACTTCGCGAATTTCGGCTTAACAGTAGAATCTACGTAATTATAACACACACGTGAGTGTCGCGACGCGATTAGTAGTCTAAGGAGTGCGCTTTGATTGTTCGAAATTCGGAAAGCACGAATTCGAATGTGCTTAATAATTCGTTATGTCTGAAGTGGACGGTGCAAATGGTGGAGCTATCTGTAAGAGGTGTGTAGTAGCTAATGCTACACATACCCTGTTAGTTAAGAAGCCAGTGCATTGAAGCGGAAAGGTATAGCGGATCGGTATCGCGGAACGCGGATTTTAGAGTAGAGTCACCGTTAGCCCGTGGGTCTCCACATGCAGCAACTTCCACGTAGTGAGACCTGGGTCGGTATTACTTGCATACTCTAATGTAGAATCTTTAACGCAAGTACTACTGAGCGAATGGCTGCATATTTTTTTACTTTTCCAATATCTTTTTAATCTAATTCCAACTAAACATTAATATTTTTCCATTTTATATCGCTAATAATACTTCAAAAGAAGGAATATAACAGAATTTATTGTACAATAATTTCTTACAGAACGACAAGGAAATTTATCTATCACAATTTTATGTCTGATGTCATTTCTATTTTTTCTTATTTACTGTCATTAATTATACTCTATATATATCTCGGGTGGAACCCATGGGAGGGGCTCATGGGTGTGTGCCTCTGTGTGGGTCGCTGTATCAGCATCTTATAGACCTGCTTCTATTATTTTCTCTTTCTGGAGCTCTCTTTTCAATTTCATATTTTTCATTGTTATTTGCTTCTATTAATTATAATTTATAGTTTCGGGTGGGACCCATGGGTTGGGCCATGGGGGTGTGCCTCTGTGCGGGTTGATCTCTCAGGATCCTATAGAACTGCATCTCTTTCATTCTCTTTTTGGAACTCTCTTTTCTCTTTCATATTTTTCATTCTTATTTACTATTATTAATTATGATTTATTAGTCTCGGGTGGGACCCATGTGATGGGGACATGGGTGTGGGCCTCTGTGCGGGTTGCTGTCTTAGAATCGTGTAGAGTTGCTTCTATTTTCATATCTTTCTGTATCTTTCTTTTCTATCTCATATTTTTTTTCTTTAATTATGTTAATAATTATGTCATTAATATGTTATTTCTTTTTATTATGTCTTTTCAGATTTATATTATATTATTTCTTTTTAATTATATTTCTTTAATATTTAATTATTTTGTTTCTTTCTAATTATGTTTTTAATTTTGTTTTCAGTTATGTTATTAATATATTCTTATTAATTATGATTTACAGGTTTTAGGTAGGAACCATTAGATGAAGCGGACTGTTGTTTCAGCAGCATGCACAGCTACTTCTATTTTTTTATTTTTCAGCAGCTCTCTTTTATTACTCATATTTTTCTTCTTTAATTATTTTTTTAGTTATGTTTTTAATTACGTTATTAATATGTTATTTCTTTTTATTATGTCTTTTCAGATTTTTATTATATTATTTCCTTTTAATTATGTTTTTTTAATATTTAATTATTTTGTTTCTTTCTAATTATGTTTTTATGTTTTTATGTCTGTTAATAATATATTCTAATTAATTTTAATTTTTCAGCATTAGGTAGGATCCACGAGATGAAGCGGACTATTGTTTCAACAGCGTCCAGTGCTACTTCTATTTTTTTATTTTTCTTTTATTCATCTTCTTTTCTTCTGTTTCAGGGATGATCGAGCAATCATGCAGCGATATTCAATATGTCTTTTCTTTTCTTTTTCTTATTTTTTCCTTATCTTTTCTTTTCAGGATAGATCATCAAGGCATAGGTTCACCTCTGGCACGATTCATCATCGATTTTTATGCGCGTTTACGGGTAGGATAGGACGAACACTAGCGCGCGTGTCGGCGTGCACAAGCGTGGGTGTTCTCGGGCGCGATTAAACTTCGTTTGATTGCTCGTATCGAAAACGCGAATTTAGAGTAGAGTCACCGTTTTTCTAACACTCACGTGAATGAACGCGGGCGCGACATAAAAGTCCTACCGGGGACTTCGTTTATATTTGCTCGAATATTCGATTAGATTAAATCGCGAACGCGTTTTTTCAGAGTAGAGTCACCGTTTTCCGAGCACTTGCGTGGGTGTCCGGGCGCGATTAAAAGTCCTACCATGGACTTCGTTTTAGTGTTGAAATTCGGGGTGCGCGAACGGTTTACCTTGTAGTGCTGTACATAGTTTGCTGATGTTATGACAATCCTCATATTTGGTAGCGGGGCGGAAATCCCGACAAATATCATAGGAAATTCTAAACACCGGTTAACATATGTCACTTTGGATTTCAACTTAGAGTCACCGTTATTCTAACACTCACGTGAGTGTTCGCGTGCGCGATTAAAAGTCCTACCGGGGACTTCGTTTTGTTTGCTCGAATATTCGATTAGTTTATTTAGAGTAGAGTCACCGTTTTCCGAACACTTGCGTGGGTGTCCGGGCGCGATTAAAAGTCCCATGATGGACTTCGTTTTAGTGTTGAAATTCGGAGTGCTCTTCGGATTTCAACTTAGAGTCACCGTTATTCTAACACTCACGTGAGAGTTCGCTTGCGCGATTGAAAGTCCTACCGGGGACTTCGTTTTAATTCTTCGACATATCGATTAGATTATTTCGCGAATTTGGATAGAACAGTAGAATCTACGTAATAATAACACACGTGAGTGTCGCGAACGCGATTAATGCGCTTTGATTGTTCGAAATTCGGATGCACGAATACAGATGTGCTTAATAATCCGTTATGCCTGAGGCGGAGGGTGTCGAACGGTTAAGCTTTCTGTAAGTGGAGTCCCTGTAGCTAAGGCTAGATACTTCCTGTTAGCTTTGTCCCATGCCCAAGATATCCGAAGCGGAAGGCATGAGGGATCGGTATCGCGGTACGCGGATTTTAGAGTAAAGTAGAGTCCCCGTTAGCTCGTGGGTCTCCATTTGCAGCAACCTCCACGTGGTGAGACCTGGGTCGGTATTACTTGTGAAGTCTAATTTTAAATCATACAACGCAAGTAATACCGAGCGAATGGCTGCATGTCTTTATTTTTCTTTTCATATCTAAATAGACATTAATGTATTCACATTTCAAATTGTTTAATCATATTTCAATAAATAAATAATTAACTATGACAGAATTCTAATGTATTTTTTTTTTAATAATAATTTTAAGAAACCTGGTACTCTCGAAACTCCCGAAACTCCCTAAACTCCCGTAACACGTAGACATCGTGGAACGTGAATTTTAGTGTATTGGGTTGGCAACTAAGTAATTGCGGATTTTGTCGTTTCCTTCTTATTTGAAATCCGCAATCACTTAGTTGCCAACCCAATAGAATAGAATCACCGTTAATCCGTGGATCTCTACGTACAGTAAACTCCCCGTCGTGAGACATAAGTCGGTATTACTTGCAAAGTCTAATTGTAAATCTTTTAACGCAAGTATTATCGGGCAAATGACAGCATATTTCCAATGTATTTTCAAAATCGATTGAACATCAATGTACTAACACGTTACGTCGGTATCTTTGCACGAATGCAAGATGTAATCTAACGTCAAAAGAAGTTGTACAATACATATGAGAAACTGAAATGTATGAATTCATTGTCATTAAATTACTCTCTAATCCACACGAAATCAATTATTATGCACGCAGAGAAGAATAACCAATGCAAGTTTATATACACCGATAAGTAGATACATAGTTGGGACAGTGTGTTCTCCGCTTATATTCGTAGTTCATATTTTGTCCACACCTGTCGCTGAAGTCACACACTCTTCGAACGTAAGGTAGTGAATAGCCTTAATAGTGATGTATTTAAATACATGTGTTTTGGCGGTAAGTGACATATTAACTAACCTTAAATTGATACAAGTAATTTTTTAAAATATTATTTTTTATCATATTCTATATATATATATATATATATGGATATTTATAAATATTTTTTATCTTTGTATTACAGATTTAATATGAGAAATATGAACGGTGGGAATAAAGCAGCACAAAAATTATTGTTCGTTTGTTCATCGTTTACTTGCATTTACTTTCCAGGCATATTAATATTATTAAAAATTAATGGAACATTGTACAATGTTGGCTCGTACAAATTTATTCCAATATTATTGATATTGATGTTTGCCGAAGTGATAAAATTAATCTTTTCTTTTTTACAAACAGAACCAGTACTTATTACCAAGATAGAAACTAAAACGTCAAAAAGTAAAAGATCTTGGACAAAATATATAAAGGAAGGTTTTAAATTTCTTATCACAAGCATTATATTGTCAATTATTTATTATTTTCTTATTGTTATGTTCGGTGCACCAGTTTTTAATCAACATGAGGAAACGACCATGCTTACAATAATATTAACGTGTTTAACATTTGTTCCTGCCAGTTTGCATTTAGGAGTAAATACAGCGGTCAATATTTTAACAGGAAGAGAAACACAAAAAGACAATATATTTATCAATGCTGCTAATATTGTTATAAAAACTACACTTTTGGGTACGTGGACTGGTGCTATTGTAATTCCATTAGATTGGGATAGACCATGGCAAGTGTGGCCTATCCCATGTGTAACAGGTGCTCTTCTTGGTTATACAATTGCACACTTTATCATTCTATTTAAGACTCTACCCACATTGAAACAAAGTAAAAATTTTTAAATTAAACACGTATGTTAATCAACTACAACAAAATTATTCATTAAATTCGTACGATTATGTACGATTTATATTTGTTGTAACATGTAAAAATTTACTAATGTAAATATTTATTATATGTCATATTTACGTAAATAATGTAAATTATCGTACTGTCCCACCTTGTGATATAATCGTTTAATACAATCAATCATTTAACAATCACCCTTCATATATTTTATTATTTTATTATACATGTTTTACAAGTACGTATGTACAATGATCATTACATGAAGAACGAGAAAAGAGGGAGGAAAAGAAAAAAAAATAAAGAACAAAAAAAAAAAAAAAAAAAAGAGAAAAAACGCATCACACAACATTATGTTTAACTGATTTTTATTGGTGAAAAAGCTTCCGTTAACCGACTGATTACATTCACTTTATACAACAAATACGTAGTACCGTAAAGTTAATTACGGTTTTGACGGGTGTTAAGTGTTCGGCATGTATCAATGAATATCATAGATATTACACGATTTTAACGCGTGAATAAAGAACGAAATGTCTTTTCCTTAATATGGGTGTCTGTATGATCCATTGTGTATATATATATATATATATATATATATATACAATATATATATATATATATATATATATATATATATATATATATATATATGTTTCCTGTATGTGTGTTATGTGAGGTGTGATTGTGTACCCATCTTGTCAGCCGCGCCTGTGTGGGTGGGTGCTTATATATGTGCATGCACGAGAAGAAATATCCTTACAAAAAAATGAAATAATGCTATGAGAAAGACGATTTACCGATCCTCCAACTTTGATTTTGACTATCTTTGATGTCTACAATAATCGTCATTTATTTGTTGTATAATTAATTAAATTGGAGTCGGATCGATCGGGACAATCTTCCACGTAAGAACGAACGGATCATAATAAGAAAAGCGAGGGTAACGCATTAACGCGAGCATGTGCGAACGATTACATTAGAGATCTATGTATGTATGTATGTGTGTATGTATCTATGTATGTATCTATGTATGTATGTATTTATTTATTTATGTATGTAGGTATGTAATGTATGTATGTACACACGGCTACTAAATATCCGACAACGGGATCGCAAAATAATTGTCAAAAAATGAAGCACTTTGAACCGCAAACGCGATATGCAATGTCTATTGGATTACGCAGTAACGTATTGTTCTTTTTTCTTTTTTTTTTCTTTTTTTGTTTTCTTTTTTTCTTTTTGTTTCTTTTTTATCTTGTATATTTATTTATTTATTTATTTATTTATTTATTTATTTATTTATTTAATTCTTTTTGTTTGTTGTTCTTTTCTTTGTTCTTTTACTTAATTCAGAAATGCTCGACGCATCGTAGCGTACTCCGTAATCGGTGACAACTGTTTTAAAAAATGGTATATATACGTGTGTATATATATATATATATATATATACATATACATATATACGTATATATGAATATATATATATATATTTATATATTTATATATAATCTCATAAAATTGTCTGCTGTTCATTATTTTTTCTTTTTTTTTCCCCTTTTTCTTTTCATCGTGTAATTCCATAATTGACTAAATTTTATGTTATACCGTATTTGCTAGAACGAGATTTGTGCGGGCACAATCCCTTATAAATGCACGTACGTAAAGTTACGCACGCAGTTTCTATTTTATATATTTATAATAAGAATTCTTCCTCTCTTATATAACGAGTTCATATTTACAAAAATCGATACTTTTTTTTCTTCCCCTTTTCTTTCTCTCTTTCTTTTTTTTTTTCTTTTTTGTGGCGAGATTCAAATATTAACTACCTACGCTATAATTATATCATCTACAAAAAATGTTTCATTCAGTCCTCCGAACGACGCCCATAACTCGCGTTTGATTTTCGCGCCGCGATGGCAGCGCCATGAAAATCAAAAGAGAGATAGGGCGCGATTCTGCAAACGAGAGCTCTCCTTTTTTTTGTTCGAAAGTCTCAAAAGAACGTGTAATTTTCTTTTCTAAGGTTTGGCTAACTCTTTTCTTCTTCTTCTTCTTCTTCTTCTTTTATCTTCTTCTTTTTCTCTTCTGTTTTTTTTTTTAATTTTATTTTATTTTCTCTCTTTCTCTCCCATCCTCGACATCCTCTTCTTATTTTGCTTTTTATCTTCGTAATTAGATCTTGGATCCAATGATTACGATTAAAGGGCCCGTTCGATATACAGGGTGGTTCATTAATCGTACTTGTTTGCAACGAACAACATTCCAAAATCTTCCGAGAGATAGAAAATATAAAAAGGGAAAGAATTTATCATAAATCTTTCACAATTTTTATGAGGTTACTAGGTAATTTCGAACGGAAGAATTGTAATGATTTTATGTATTTCTTTTTTACATAACCTCATTTTCGAATAACGTTCGTTGTTTATTATACGACAGATGAGACTTTTTTTTTCTAAAAGGATCACAGAACGATCAATAGGTATTCAAAGGAGAAAGAGAGAAAAGATTATTCGTTTTAACGAACCACCCTGTATATATATATATATATATATATATATATATATATATATATATATACACATATATATCTATGTATATATATATATATGAATTTTTTTTTTTTAATTTGTATCGGCAGCAATTTTTTTTCTTTCTATCCTTCTGACGTTTCTGTAGGCAATAAAGAGACAAAGAGCAATAATTGAACTTTCAAATGTACCACGCATTGATCAGAACTTTAAAAGCATTATGCTTTTATTCGAGAAAAATGTTCGATCGATTAGGTACACAAGAAATTCGAATTTTTGCCAACGACAATTAGCCAACTATTGCGGTTCGATATCGCATACTAAATGGATCATGCGAGATCCCATTTCTTTTCTATACGATTCATTTTATCTAAAAGGAAATAATATAATTTCATTCCCATGAATTCATCATCATAATAATCATTATCATCATCTTCATTATCATCATCATCATCATCATCATCATCATTTTAAATCTTAATGAGGCAATAATAACGATCTATCGTATCCTTCTGTGACTTCTGATCCAAAAAAGCTTGATAAAAGACCATAAGACAGACGGAGAGAAACGTTTGAAGATAAGTACTTATATGACGTCTAATTTTTATGCACTTCACCTTGGATCGATAATAAGTTACGTAAAAGTTATTCGTCGATCTTTGTGTAAATCGACTTTTGTTATTATTTACGAATATGCAAATTCGATGATTAAAATGATTCGATTTTCTATATATCGGGATAAAATACTATTCTCATACGTTTGCAGATAACAAATTGTCGCATTAAAAGTAAATAAATTGATATAAGTATTATTACGCAGATATCCCTGCGCGTCCTACCTGATAACGATCATAAACGTTACGTACGTCCTTTTATGGACTAACGTTAGATACATTATAGGATCCAATTCCAATGCAGTTATTGTTAATGAGACCGCTGCGCGAGTTTTCTTTTTCTTTTTTTCTTTTTTTCTTTTTTTTCATTGTTTTTTTCTTTTTCTCTCTCTCTCTCTCTCTCTCTCTCTCTCTCTCTCTCTCACTCTCTCTTGATAATCTAAAAGACAGACAACATAAAATAATATTGAAACTACGAAAATCGTTAGTATATCAATAAATTCTTAAATCAATATTTGTTTATCGCTGAAAACGTAATTTGTTTTTATATTAATGCCGCTCGAACACTATCTTGCGAGACTATTTACAAGATCCTAATTATTTAAACATTTATTCACTCATCGCTTATTTTTATCTTCACACATACGTAAACGCACAAAAAGTCGAACTCTTGCTTGCACACAAAAATACGAGCACGAGAAAAAAGACGATTTTTATTAACCGTTCGTCGTTTATCTACATCGGTATATTATATACTCGCAGTGTTTTTTTTTTTCTTTCTTCTTCTTCTTCTTTTTTTTTCCTTTTTTTTTCTTTTTTTTTTCTTTTTTCTTTTTTTCCTTTTTTTAAATATTATCGAGTCGATATAATACGATCCTGACAGTGACATACAGTCAAGGTAAAGGGATCATGGATACCAAAATCCCCAATTACTAGTTTATTTTCTTGTTATATCTTACGATTCTCAAATTATTCGCTTTTACAAAAATCTTTTCTTTCAGGAAGCCCTAAAATTAGAACCCAAACTTGTTTAAATGTATGTATGTATGTATGTATGTATATATGTTTGTATGTTTGTATTTTTGTATGTATGTATGTTTGTTTATTTGTTGTATGTATGTATGTATGTTTGTTTATTTGTTGTATGTATGTATGTATGTATGTTTGTATGTATGTTTGTATTTATGTATGTTTGTATGTATGTACATATGTATGTATGTATATATGTTTGTTTGTTTGTTTGTTTGTTTGTATGTATGATTGTATGTATGTATTTATTTATTCATTTATTTATTTATTTATTTATATATTTATTTATTTATTTATGTACTTTATGTATGTATGTAATGTACGTTAGCTTATACTACGACTGAAAAAATTTCGTTTTAAATAGTCGTTTCATTCATTAATTGTGCAATATCTGTTACATGGTTTACACAGTAATGACGAAAGCATATCTCAAGATAATGTACATTATCCTTTGAATTGTCTATTTAACAATAATACGCGTTTCATCTATACTCAATTGCAGATTCGGGAAAATACAATCCTTCCCATTGGACAAAAAGCATTTTAATGTATGCCACTGAATCCTCATAGAGGAAAAAGGTCGTGCTTATTATGAATCACTGTGACGTAATGTTTAAGTAATTAATAATATATCAACAAGATTTAGACGATTATAATAATAACTTTGTAAACGCCTTCGAACGAACGGAAAGAAAATTTTTTTTTGTTTGTTTTTTTTGGGGTTTTTTTTTTTTATTTTTTTTTTTTTTTTTTTTTATTAACATCGCTCGTACTCGCATTTTAGTGCAATCGCCCGATTCATCGTATGCGTTTTCACACAACGATAATTTAATATCATTTCGTTTTGTCGGCTTTCCTTAACTGTTACATAAAAACAATGACTTTTAATACTCTCGCGCGTAAATTGAGCAGTCTTGAAAGTATAGCAAGTTCATAATTAAAAACAAGATACTAAAACACTGAACATCTAGATCGTCATTCACCACTATTGCTCTCGTCATAATGAGAGAACTTGAGAAACACTTGTTCCAGGGTAGTTTGACTGAAACTATACTCCTCGATGTCTAGTTCCTGCTTGGCTGTAATTAAAAATTGCATATGTTTTATTGATTGTTTCCTTTTTTTCTTATTTTTTTTTTTTTCTTTCTTTCCCTTTTACTCAATGCATGCATTGAAAATTCAATGATTATGTATTTCTAATGGGACAATAATTCTCACCCTTCTCCAACTGCATAAAACACTCGGCCAGCGAGTTCACTGCGTGTTGAGGAACGGCAAAGACCAATCTGTCTGCAAAACTTTCTTCTAACGTTGCATCAGGAAAGAGACCAGCAACGAATTCTTTTAATGCAGATAATCTATCACCGGAAGGCGTAGTTGGGGTACAATCGCCACCCAAAAGTTTCATCTCTAAAGTGTACCCAGCACCGTATAGATTTTTCAGGTGTTGCGTCGAACCTACACATCTTAATTCACCTTTAACCATTATACCAACTCTGGAGCATAATGCATCGGCTTCTTCCATCGAGTGAGTTGTAAGGATTGCTCCTCGGCCACCCTGTTAATAGAAAATAATCGAATGTTAATTTTTAATGTTAATATTAAAATTTAATAAAATTTTTAAATGATAAATCATAGGCCAATTGTTTCGATAATACCTGGAAACTAGCAAGGATGGTATCCCATAGGAATCTTTTTGATCTAGGATCCATACCCGTACTAGGTTCATCCATTAAAACAACCTTTGGTCCTCCAACCATTGCCATTGCAAAGCTAAGCTTTCTTCTAGTACCACCTGAGCATTCTTGAGTTTGTTTATCGGCATGTTCATGAATCTGAAGACCGGTTAAATAGAGATCGACGATTCTGAAATAATATCATTATTTTTTAAAAGTGAAAGTTATTGTTACACGGGATAAAAGTATTTTTAATAATACCTATTAATCTCTCCCCAAGGTACACCACGAATAGCTGCGTAACATTCTAAATGTTCTCGTACAGTAATATTTTTCCATTGAGCATCGTGTTGCGGACAATATCCCATTTGTCTGAATGCTTCCTCCATGTGAGAATGTATATTGTGCCCGCCAATTTGTACTCTACCACGTGTTGCTGCTTCCTCCGCGATAATAATCTTCATCGTAGTAGTTTTTCCAGCGCCATTATGACCCAAAAGTCCAAATACTTCACCTGGTTCAACGGCCAATGATAAATTTCTTACAGCGACTTTTCGTTGCATTTGAGATGTTGTCTCTTCTTCTCGTTTGTTACAACAGCTACAAGAAACTGTTGATTCTCGATGATGATATTCCTTTCGTAGATTCTAACGGCATTCAATAATCATGATTAAAATTATCGTTAAAACTCTCTATTCATTATTTTACCAGTAGAAAATTATTTTTACCTGTACCAATACCACTGATGATTGTTGAACGGAAGGTGACGTAATAAGATTGAATACTCTTTGTCTTTCAGTTTTTACGTCAGCATCTTCGTGCTCACCTACATCCGAATTCTCCATTATCTCCTCACCGATCGAGCCGCCATTTCTCTATTAATACATACAAAACAAAATTAACATTTATTTTGCGGATAAATAATTAAATAACGAAGAAATATATAACTCTTATAACCAGGAAGTGCTTGAAGAAATCGCTAATGTTTCCGCCGCTTTTCTTGATATCCAATAAGAGCAATACGAAGAACCATAATGGACAATGTAATAATACACCAACAGCCATCAATATGATCTCCGTAGTAAGATAATCCGACATAGTTAAATGATGGCAGGCAGCATTAATAGAGCACATTAAATGAACGCGATCTACATAGTACACCGCTGCATAGGGCACATACATGGTATTTAATAGAGAAAAGACCACATGCAAAGCGAACGCTGCAGTACCACCTTAAAAAAGATCAAAATATTTTAATGTTGATTAAATAAGTGACAAAAATTTTTATTTAAGTATTTGTTTATATATATCACTTACCGACACCTAGCATATCTAAGATCATGACAAGCAAAAAAGGTATCAGTCCAAAGAACGTAGCAATATTGGGTAAAATACTTTGTGCGGAGTCCATCTTATCAAAGATGTAACTCCAACATGTCGAAAAAAGAATGGACGATGGGCAGTATAACATTAAAAGGGCACCAAGAGTAATGAGTGCTGGTGGTTCTTGAAGCGAAGGCACGTCAAAGAGAAATATAATACCAATGATACATGAACAAATAAATGTCATCAGGCCGACGAGGACGATAAAATATGTGAGGAAGTACATAGGAAATGACAGGCCGTTGACGCGCAATTGATTCTTCGCTTTTATCTAAAATCAAATGTTAAAATGTTAAATAACTTTGTTAATTATCGATACGATCGAATAAATTATTCTTACTTCTCGATCATAAACCATATCGACTGCCAAAGTGATTGGTAATAAAACAAAATCCATTCCAATGAATAATGCTGAACTGGCAACGCCAATGTTAAATTCTTGTGGCTGTGATGTCTGTTGAAACGGATGCGTTTTTATTTCAATTTGTTGAACATCATCCCTACCAGCTACCAATCTGTTTTTAATGGAAATTACAATGATTATTGTGATTTTAACGTAATTTTGTTGTTGTTGTTCCTTTTTCTTTTTTCTGTAAAAGACAAGGAACATACATACCTGTAATAAGTATTTAACAGTACATTCAATAAAATGGGTAAAGAATGTTGCATCGTATCGTTATATACGATTGTTAAATTCATCTTTGGAAAGCTATAATCATTGATATTAAATGCTGCTACGTGCGGTGCGCTTTTTAACAAATTAACGTAATTCCCATCGTATTCATCGATATGCTTTACATCTTGACTTATACTCTCTATCAAAGGCGTTATGTCAATATCGGTATTATTCAAATATAAAATTTTAGTTTCATTGCCATAGGTGTCTAAAAAAAATTTTTACAAAGAGAAGAGAAAATATCTCTAATGTTTATAGATATTTCGGTGATAATTAAAGATTATTGGGGGCGGGGAAGATATATAAAAGCATACCACTATTAAGTTGAAGTGATTGCATCTTAATGTCGACAGTTTGAATACTGTTTATATAAAGACCAAGGATTATTAGAGCAAGAGGAGCAACGATGGTAAAGTATAATAGTTGAATGTTTCTAAACAGCCTGAGTATCCTTAGGCGAAGCATGGCATAAAGAATTTGAAGGAAGTTAGGCCGAATTTTGATGGGGTCTAAGCCAAGGCCGAGAATAGGAGGATTCCTATCATTGTGAATTCCATCTGGTAGATCACCTGCTCCTGCATTTCAATATATATAAATATTATTAACGGATACAAATATTGATTTTAAATGTTAAATAATTTTCCTTTAATTACCTTTCGCTTGACCATCATTTTGAACGGTAACACCTTCGTTCTGTAAACTCTGGTACGATGTACTTTTCGACTGCAAGGACAACGATCTACTAAGTGCACGATTACGAACCATTTTCTTTGACAGATTGTCCATGGTACATTCCGTTTCCTCGTCTTTTTCCAGATGTAAAAAGACTTCTTCCAGGGTCGTCATAGATACTCCATAACTACTAATACCCAATCTACTCGATCTCGTTTTGATTTCATGCTCGATAGCCGAAAAAAGTGAGGCGAAATTTTCCACGGAATTGTGAGGCAAGATGAAGCTCAATTCTCGACCGTGACGTCTTGCTTTTTCGGCTTTCGTCACATGAGACGATACTAATCGTGCTATTGCATGTTCCCTTGCGTTGCCTTCTAGTACGAGACTGTAATGATAATACAATGATAAAAAAAAAAGAGGAAAATTGTCAAAATAGAAGAATGAATAAATAAATAAATGAACATTTGCATGTGTATTAATTTGTGCATACATTTATACTTGATACTCACGTTAAATGATAACCGATACCGAATTTATTTTTTAAGAACAACGAACTACCGCAACATCTCAATCTCCCTTTACTTATAACTGCCTTCCTGTCAGCCAATATGTCTGCTTCGTCCATGAAGTGAGTCGTTAAAAGAATGACTTTACCGTGTCTTCTGGATTGCAGGAAAGACCACATTTGTCTTCTCGAGTATGGATCCACTCCAGCTGTGGGCTCATCAAGGATAATGATCTTAGGATCACCGATAATGGCGATACCTACTGAGAGCTTTCTCTTCTGGCCACCGCTTAAATATTTTGCAAAAGTATCCGCTTTTTCAACCAGATCTATGTCCTTTAACGTTTTCTTTACCTATAATATCAATGACATTATGAGATATTATAAATTATAACGAGATAATAATTTGCAATTCTATAATAACGATAGATTATTTTAAATGCTTTAAATATTGTCTTACCTCGTGTTCGATCATTGATTTTGGAATGCAACGTACAGCGGCAAAAAATTCGAGATGTTCTCTTGGCGTTAATAAATCAAACAGAATGTCATGCTGAGGGCATACACCTGTCATACTTCTGATCATCTGCATATCGTTTGAATCTCGCACGTCATATCCAAATATCAAAGCCGTACCGGCTGTTGGCGATGTCAATCCGGTGAGTATATTAAACAACGTTGTTTTACCAGCCCCATTATGTCCCAATATCGCTGTTATTTGTCCCTCATAAATCGTTAGATTGATACCATTAACTGCTTTTGTTTCAGGCTTACGACATTTCTGATAAGATTTAAACAGATCTATGATTCTAATTGCTTCCCTTCCCTTCATCTCACGTACAACTGGTTCCACGTCTCTATTTGTTTCCTCGCCGGGTATAAAAGAATTAGATTCGCCGTTAGATGATGGTACCCTTTGAACTTTACGTTGACACCAAAATCCAGGTGTGAAACAGAACCACGGTGATCTCTTCGTGCCATACTCGCCTATTAATCAAAATGTCATGAAGGATTATCGTTACTCTTCCAAGTTGTTATTGAAAATATCTTCAGATATATCGCAGAGAGAACAAAGGGGGGAAAAAAATAAAAAATAAAAAAAAGTAAAAGATTCTTTAAACATACTTGGTATAACCGAGTCCAAATAATAGGCTAAGCAAGCATATAAGAATATGTCTAAAGTCATCATAATGAGACTTCCACCGAAAGGTATACCAGGACCACACCAAAGATTATCGAAATTCACTCCTTGTCCTTGTAAATCCAGGACCAAGGCCTATGAAAGATACAAAGGAAAAAAAAAATAAAATTTATTAAATTTTTTTTTTTTTTTTTTTTTTTTTGATAAACCTTTAGGAATACCAACCTTATCCATAGCCAATGCAACACCCGTTGGACTTAAAAGTGATACAAGCCAAAATGAGATCGAGCTAGAATCGTCTACAAAGACTTGAATGAAGTACATCAAACTTAATATCGTTACTGCAAAGTTTCCAAGGACACCGGCAGTCTAAAATGAGATACGAGTATACTCGTTGAAATCTGTAATAACTTTTCTAATGATCTTACATTAAATCAATTCCTTTTCGTACCCGTTTAATTTAAACATTTTATATAACATAAAATACTCACACGAGATTTATCAAAGAATGGCGTTATCATGAAGGCAAACATGATGATGGAAAAACTATAAAGTACGACCAAAAGAAATATCGGTAAAAAGTGTGTATGCTGAAACATTTGTAGAGTGAAGAGTAATACCACTCCAACGGCAGAAAGTAACAAGACAAAGATGCTGTAGATAATGAACCAAGACATCCTAAAGCACGAAAGACGTATCAATATTTAATGGATTTAATCGATAGATTAAAACGTAAATATCACAGTAATATCATATAATTTATAAAAAATGTTCAATTTACCAAAATACAGAATCCTTCAGGCCCATTATTTTCATTCCTTCTTTAATCCTGTTTTCTTTTTCACCGACTATTAGTATCAAGAGATAAGTAATGAACTGTGAAAGTGCTAATACCATGTACAAAGGAATAATGACTCTAAAAGCCAACATCCAATCTAGAAAATGTATTATTAAGAGTTGTATTGAGAGAGAGAGAGAGAGAGAGAGAGAGAGAGAGAGAGAGAGAGAGAGAGAGAGAGAGAGAGAGAGAGAGAGAGAGAGAGAGAGAGAGAAATTAGATTATCATTTCTTCGAAGAAAGTAAAAGCTTTTCGATAGAGAGAAGTTATTTCTTACCAGCTGTGAATGCTTCTTTTGGAAACATTTCTAATTTTATATCTGGAATGGTTACGTCGTTGTTTTGCGTGTCAAGCTGTAGAGTAAGGAAGGAAGTAATACATTAGAAGATACATTTCGTAAGAGTGAAAGAGAGCAATATAATTCAAGACTATAAGTAACCGGCGTACCCTTATCTTCGTAATATCCATTAGCATTTGTAACGCTAGGAAGCCAGAATCCAAATAGTTATTCACGGGACATGATCCGCCGGTTTCTATTGACAGAACGTCTCCCATCCAATGGCTGTTGTCCTTCCGGCAAGTAACCGGAGCGGAATAAAGTTCAGTAGGCGAAGGAGGAGATGTATATGAAGGATTTGTTCTAATCTCGTATCTAAAAGATACAAATAGCAATTTTACCTCACCCTCGATTTAGATTATAAAAGAGAGAAAGGGGGAAAAAGCTTTTCGTGAATGTAAACAATCATTCGTATCAACTTAGCAATTTAATAGATTTGACTGAAATATTGTATCTATGTGTGTATATATATATATACATATATATAAACAGTCTTACAGAAGACGTTGAGTGATCGGTTGAGAGTCTTCGAAGATCACAGCCAAAGGTACGCTATATGGATCTCTCCAATAAGCTGCCTGTAGATCATCCTTCGTATCGAATATCATAAAATTTAAAGGTAATTTGCCAGGAAAATCCCACATGGACAGCCAAACGTTGTTCATCGAATTTAAAAATATCTGGAAGATGAATCAATGATATTAAAAATTTTTAATACGTTTAACGAGATATTTATATCTAATTATAACTAACGATAACTTACGAGAGTTTCCGTCGAATTAGGTACCACGGCTATCGTATTGTTTTTATGACCGTTGAATAATTCGAATATTTTCTCTTCATGCCTCTGCGTCGTCATCGCGGGATAATTTGGATTAGGTATCAACACCTTTATCACTATGAGAATCCCTAGAGTATAAAGAGGCAGGAAGATCTCCTACAATAATAATAAAAAAAAAAAAAAAAAAAAAAAAGAAAAAAAAAAGAAAAAAAAATATGTATGAAAAAAAATGTAAAAAAAAAAAAAAAGAAAGAGAGAGAGAAAAAGAAATACATATTGTAATTCATTGTCACAGATGAAAGATCTCGTATATGTAAAAGTCAATAATTTTATTCGATTTTCTATCGATATTTATATTCTTATTATTCTTTTCAAATCAATTTTATTTCATATCATAACCGTATTAACAATATCAAACGAATATTTAACATATCAAACGAGAAATGAAATGGAAATGAAATGAAATGAAATGAAATGAAATGAAATGAAATGAAATGAAACGAAATGAAATGAAACGAAATGAAATGAAATTGTTAGAGAGCGTATACGCGAGTTCGTTCGAAACTCTCTTGGGAACAATGGAAGAAGGTTTTTATGACTAATCCTTACGATCCCCTTATGTTCGTCCCATCGATAATGATGGAAAGATAATGAACGTGTCTGAAAATCATATGTTACGAGTATACGCATACTAATGTATATAATTCCTCATGTACAAAAGCGAAAGACGTGGGTTCATTTTTTTTCCTTCCCTTTCTTTTTTTCTTTTTCTTTTCTTTTTTTTTTTTTTTTTTCTTTACAAGGGCAAGTTTCTTTCGCATGATCCAAACCCTACCGTTTGGAAAAGACACCCTCTTTACGCTTGTGTGTGTACAACAACACAGATGGTTTAATGCGACGAGAATCGTATGAACACGAACAAGCAACCATGTTCGCGACGTTTGTTCGAGGGGTGAATAGAGAAGTAACGTTGTTCGCTTTGATATACCGTTACCATAGCGATAAACAACTTAAACGAAAGCGATATTTTCAGAAAGAAAAGCACCCGGCTTTCTTTATCCTCGGTTTCTCATGTCACAATAAGAAGATCTCTGACACGTTTATATAAGAAAATAAAAAAAAAAAAATGGATTCGCGAGGCAGCAGTGAGACAATGTCATTTTTCGTCGATGTCGTTACCGAAGATTCATTCTACGAGAATTTAACGTTAGGTGTCGTCAAGATTCTCGAAAATTCGCCATGCGTTAAAAACGTTCGCGTTAACAGACGAAATGGTTGCGAACGAAACGCCATTGCGAATTGGGAGCAACGACACGGCTGCGTGTTGCCAGAAGACGTGAAGAATTTCTATGCCTCGATCGATGGTTTTCTACTACAGTGGAATCTCGAGATAGCAGGTACTTTTTTTTTCCTTTCTTTCTTTCTTTTTTCCTCTTTTCTTCCTTCATACGAGATGTCCCGTTGTAAAATATTGTCCTCTTTTAACGCCGAACATTCGCATTTCGTGTACATAGAGATTTTATAAGATATTTCTTTTTCTTTTTTTTCTTTTGACTCCATTTCACTACTTTCATTTTACATCTTTTTCTCTCTCTCTCTCTCTCTCTCTCTCTCTCTTTTTCTCTCTTTCTTTCTCTCACACTCCTCTCTCCATCTGTATGTTCTTTTATGGAAGAATATTTTTTTTTTCAAGGACATCGTATACGTCAATCGTTTATCATATGTAACGTAGAGTTCTTGTTCATTTCACACAAGAGGGATATCGAAT